TGTAAGTTGCAGCTAGTTTATAAAGTGCATAAGTTGTTGTTACCACTTGAATATCCTGTATATTGTAACGCCACTTTTTACTGAATAGTGACTGAATAGGTAAGGTCTGTTATGCTCGAAAATGGTCGGAAATGTGTTAACAAGTCCGCTAGAAATGAATTAAAGCGAGGAATCCACTAGGGACTTCGAAAATTACATCACGAGCTGCTCCTTCGGGCGTGGTTTGCGCCCCTTCATCTGGTTCATGGTGAGACGCAGGCTCACCATCAGATGAAGGCGTAAGCTAAAAAGTAAAGTGCTAGTTAGTAAGCTAAAAAAGATGGGAGAAACGATCAGGTTCCCGTAGGGGCTTGCGCTGCAACGCGGCGGCTAATCCGTCGTCCTGTCGGTCGGTCGTTTGCCGAAGTCTCAAGTCATTATTCCTAACGGTCGTCCACAACGTTGTTATCGGTTTGGCGGATCGGATGCATAAACTCCGCCCTAGGATTGGGCGCTCGGTGATTTTGGTTGCTATTAGAAGATTTTCCTTGCCTTTTTGATCACTGGTGGAGCCTCCGTCTTGAGTGTTTCGATTTTCGGATGCAAAATCCTACACCTATTCAATCGCAAAATTGGCTCTACGGTCAAACTTATTGGTGAAACTGTTATAGTATAATAGCTTCATAACAAGCTGTCACTGTAAAAGCAGTTATAATATGATACTTGATTTTTTTGGCTGAAAATAATTATGAGCGGTGATTTCAGCACTACCTCAAAAAATTTTCATACGGAAACGCACGAGCTACCGATCTATGGCAAGCATTCGACGAGACTGTTACGAATGTCACGGGTCCCAGAGGCGGGCCTATAAAAATTACTGAATTTGCCCCTCAGTGGACGACCCAGGTTCGTCGATAGAAACACCCGTTTCAAAGCTTCAAAGTGCGCTTACGTGTTTCAGATGGGATTCCCAATGGTAACTGTTAAAGCTCTCAATAGCACCACTGTGAAAATCACGCAGGAGCGCTACAAAGCGAATAAGAATGCCGTGGAGCCGGAGAAGTATCGCCATCCAAAATATGGGTTAGCGCGTTTTTGCTATTTTCACTCGGGTTTTTGCAAATATCTAGTCTACTCCTATAACCCTTCAAAAAATGAAATAGAATCTATTCGCTAGTTACTGTAGTTAGCATAGATTAGAGAGAAGTTTTTAAACACGTCATAGCTCCAATCTCTCATTTATTTTTTTATCTTCATTTATTTGAAGATCCTTAACCTACTGATTACCAGATGTTACCATTTGCTACAAATCGATGTTATGGTTCTTCGAAGTCAAAAGTTGGGAAAATTCTTAATATTGGTTTACGGGCTAAATTCAAAATTTTCCTCACCTCCTAAAACAATAATTCATAAAATAATAACATTCAGTTGAACTCAGATGAATAGATTTAATATTTTAGATTCAAGTGGGATATTCCGCTATGGTATCAGGAAGGCACTGAAAAGGAAGTGAAACGGGCCTGGCTTTCTAGAGGTAGGCAAAATTGTTTTGTACTCGTCGTGGCATGGAGGATTTTGAAATATTATAGAAATGGTATATGAGCAAAATTCACTACGAGGGCCCATTAACCTAGGTTAACCGAATCTGAATTCATGTGTCATTTACAAAAAAGGTCAAAATGATTATCTGATAACTGGTTGACTTGAAGTGAAGTTCACAAGGGAAGGTTTCCCAGGTTCGCGCATTTTTGGAACGCTTTCTTGCATACTGTAGGAGCTCTCATGTGGACTTCACTGAGCAACCCCGTGAAGGCCAAAAAAGGATCTCTACTCTGAGTGGGGGATATTGCGTTCTGAATCGATGTATGGAATTTCGAACGACAACTCACCGGTCCTCATAATGAACACAACACCTGGCGGTGGCCTATTTGGAAGCTTTAAGTCAAAATTCAAAAAGTTTGTTATCATCCGGAATTCAAGTTGAACCAATGCTTCACCAATTTTTGGCCCTCACGCGGCAGCTCAGAAAAATGGACCTAGGTTTTGTAGTCCACG